GTGTAATATGCTGAGTTTCTTAAATATAAATATATTTTCTTTGACTTTTTGTATTTCATGGATATGCACGTCACAGGCACTTTAAAGCTGAATTAAACTCAAACTTCTCCAACATGAAGGGGGTTATATAGCATATCAAAGATCAGAAATGAAACAAAACGTTTGTTGTTTGTCATGGTACGCATGGGTCAGAGCTGGCTGACAGATCGCACATTTTCATGTCAAGTTTGGATTTTATAAATCACAACCTTTGCGTGAAAAGTGKCGTACGCAAGTTTCTGGGCTCGATTTGTGCGTACGCAAGCTTTATAAATCTGACCCCAGCGTCTTTTAAAAGGAAAAACAGGTCTTGTTTTTTTTTTCTGTAAGTGTATAAACAGATTTAACTTGTACAACCCGAGGAGGATAAAACACTCACAYACACAAACACACACGCTCCTGCAAACATCAGTAACGTCTCTTTGTTCTATTGATCTTGACAGGTATCGCAGCCTGAAGCAGTTCAACGTGGACATCTGCCAGACGTGTTTTCTAACCGGCCGCACCACCAAGGGGAAGAAGCTGCACTACCCCATCATGGAGTACTACACCCCAGTAAGACAAGCTGTGTAATGACAGATTACAAATCCAAGTCTTTAGGGACAGATAAAGCTAAACTCTTCTCATGAGTGAAACACATTCTCTTCATGCTTGATTTGTTCTGCCAAACATGGATTAGGGAGATCTAATCCACTGTAAAGTGCCTATCATCTCATCCAGATCTATAGTATGCACAGWTGGAGTGCCACTTAGCCGTAAAATCCCTTTTGGCTCGTATATTCTGGGTTTAAAGTGCATTTTTCAAGCACAAGATCCCAATAAAAYCTATATACAGAAAAAGTGCATAAAGTTGAGTTCATTCTCGGGGAATGCTGGAGTGTGCTGATATGGTGTCGGGTTAAATTTCTAATCAGTTCTGAAATTTGAAAAAAGGAAAAGATGTGAGTGCAGTTTAACTCATATTTCTGCTGAGGTGGAAATGTTCAGGCACAACGATTGAATTTAAAACAGAGGAGGAAAGAAAGGGAGGGGAAATGTTGTGAAGAGAAAAGAACACAGTTGGTGGAAAAAGATKGGTGTTTAATCAGACGTCCTCCAGAGAAAGCCACTTTAAAGCCGTGCAATTTGTCTTTCAATCATCCATGCCCCGTGCTTCAACCCTCCGCTCGCCACCCCTCCTTCGCCCGTCAACCCCYGGTGACTGCAGACGACCTCGGGGGAGAAGATGAGGGACTTCGCCAAGACGCTGAAGAACAAGTTCAGGTCAAAGCAGTACTTCACCAAGCACCCGCAGAGAGGTTACCTGCCGGTGCAGTCYGTGCTGGAGGCTGAGAGCTCCGAGACGTGAGTCCCAACCCCTTTCTGTCACTACACCACTACACACTCCTGCTGTGTGCTAATCAGCACCACTGACTTACTGAGGTGGTTTTCTTTGTGTTGGGAGGAAACATAAGCTCCGTCCTGTGATCTCAGTCTGACTCGGACACGCTGCTCACGAGTGACTCCAACACAAAGAGGGAAAACAAGAGCAATGAGACTAAAATCAATGAGATCATCATGAAGCGCTGCTCTGGGCTACAGCAGGATGATTTAACCCGAACGTGGGTTTGTGTGTCCAAACCTCACCRCTTCAAACACATCACTGAGGCGACAAATACAGAGGTTTTATTCTTTACGCAACCTTTTGTCGAAGCGTCACGTCTAACCACAGTCCAACTCGTATCTGCCGTCTCTGAGCTCGAAGCAGTCAGGAGGTGAACAGGGTCTGGATTAAATAGGTCACAGATTATGACAGGAGCATAGAGAAGAGACAATGACATACTGTAAACAGTATTTTCACTCTTTATGATTCATCTCTGATACGGTCTGAAAGCACATTGAATGTTTTCACCGTTGTGTTGTTGATGCACAACTACACTTCTACTGACCCAGATGAAGCCACATCAAAGCACTGAGCTTTATGAGGAGATTACAGGAACTAAATGTCTGTATGAAAGGCTCATCGTAATTAAATAAGTTATTTTTTTTGCTAAAATCTTGTTTTTGACACATTATTTCAGTTCTGCTACTCGTTGCCGCAGAGCAGGGAGGTGTCAGATCGCAACTTTATTTTGGATATAAATTTTGCTTTAATATGTTCTGTTTTTAATGTTTGGTTTAAACCTATTTAGGGGGGTCAAAGTCATTTTCACCGAGGACCACATGAGCGCTATGGTGGTCTTAGGGCCAGTTGTAATTAACTGAAACGTTTCATGGTTAACTTCGACTAAATACATGAAACGTCTCGTTCCTCGTCTTGTTGCTACGTACAGCTAACAAACTAACTGACCTCTACCTGGTATTTCCTGCACAGAAACAGTGTTTTGACACCTCCTCTTATAAACACTGAAAAGTACTATGTGTGCGACTGACTAAATGTGAAGTAAATACAGAAATGCTATTAAAAGTAAAARTATGAGTTTTACTCACTGTTGAGTTGTGCTGAGTAGCTGCCATCTTGAATTCTGAACTCTCCCACTTCYCARCAGTCAGTGGTGGGCACAGTTCCCCTRAAGCACAAAAGCACTAACAGGGAGACTAATTTCCTGATYAGTGCTTTAGGGCTTTTGCTAATTTAAAATTTATTAGTGGATTAKCACACGATTTATAGGCTAMATTTATAAGCACWAACTGAGGTCTTTAAATGTTATTGATCAACATTAAAGTTAACAGCTGATGGGATAAACTGTCACTCATTTTGTTCATATGTGTGTCACTTATCCACTAGGTGACATATTGACAATATGTGAACCCAAATAGGGTTAATAAGTCTTAAGAGAGCAACATAGTAATATGTGACTTATGTTGTCTGTTGAAGAATGTTCATGGGTTGACTGGGTTACTTTAGTGCTTTAGAATTAGTTTTTGTTAAAACTTTCAGTGCATTAATGCTTTAGAATTAGGGGACCTAAATATCTGAGTTAGTGTTTTAGGGCTAGTGGAACTAATTTTTAGATTAGTGCTGCCCACCAYTGCCAACAGGGAATTCCCACTGGAGGAGTATTCCAGTTTAAATTTACAACTTGCAAGTAGAAAATTCCCACTTCCCAGTTCAACTGAGCYGCAGCAAAAGCAGCTGGTGAAACTGTAACAAATTGGAGATTTTTACACGACTACTTTTGAACCCTGTGCACCTCCACTTAGTGGTGGGAGGTCATCAGTTCACGGGTAAAATCAACWTGCATTATGGGAAATGTAGTTTATGGTYAATGCTGGCTTTAAAGCAGYTTATTTTAAGACATCAAAGCATTTTTGWAGAGCTTGCAGGCCATATAAAATGCTTTGCTGCATCACGTTTGGCCCACAGGCCTTGAGTTTGACAYGTTTTAACAGGTTWATAGAGTTCATGTCACAGCCTATTGTTTATGTTGTATAGAAGTGTTTTCTTTTGTCATTTGTGAGATTTTGATTTTGGTTTCTGGTCTCAGACCTTGCTCCTCGCCCAGACTGCCCCACGCCGACACACACAGCAGGATTGAGCATTACGCCAGCAGGTACGTGTCCTATAAATCAACTAATTACTGTACAAGTCTACCTCTTTCACTTCTCCCTCTTCAATTGATCCCCCTTCTTGTTTTTTTTTTTGCCTCACTTCATCTCTCCTCCACCTTATCTACCCTTCCTGCCTTCTCCGTTCCCTCACCTTTTAGTCTTTGCTGATTGTAGTATTGATTTCTCTGCAGCCAGGACCGGACTGCCGGACTGSCCGGCACTTCCTTTTACTCTCCCAACACAAACACAACCCTTTGGCACACACAGGCAGAGCAGTGTGGTGGTTCTGTGTGAGTGTCCGTGAAGGTTAGAGAGGTTCAGCGYGCCTAGCGGCTTGTCGCTGAGCTGTGAGCCCAGTGGTCACCTGGGAGCTGTCGGTGTGGATTAGTGTCGGTGTGACAGGTTATAAACAGGCCACAGTCCCRGACTGCCACACTCCTGGCAGCGCAGCACTCTGGGCAGCTCTGGACACGCACCTCCTCTTTCCAAATGAGCCTGCAGTGTATGAACAAGTCTTCATGTGTTTGTGTGTGTTTGTGTTTTACCTCCCTGTGGCTCCCACATGCTTTACATTCTGCTAAAACAATGAGAGCAGGAACGTTTGTCATCTTAACCCCTTTTATTCTCACTGTTTTCACCTTTCAGCTGCTCTCTTTGTCTTTCTCCTTTTTTCCAGATAATCCCTTTCTTTTAGTGTTTCCACTCTTTTTTATCCCAGTTCTTTTCTCTTCACTTTTATCATTACCTGTCACTTCTTCTTACATATGCTTAGATTTGTAAATTACACTATAATTTTTTCTTCAAACAGCTTTTGATTCGCGTCGATCGCTGAGAAAATGTTTCAGCCTGTGCGGTGTCTAATTGCAGTATTCATCAGTGYAAACTGGAGCAGCAGAAATGGAGAAGGAGACACTGATGAAGAACAAGTGGCAAGTTTCTGCAAAGAAACTGTCAGAAACTCACTAATCTAAAATAGCACTTAGAGGCTTTTAACATAGACATAAAGTTTATTAACTTTTCATTTTATTACAGTATATTTTCAATTCATGTTCCAAAATGTTGCAAACACATAATCTAGCACATCTTATCAGATATATGTGAACTAATGTCATGTATAGATGCAGGATTCAAACGGTCATTATGAAACATAAAACATGAAACTGAAAGTTGAACTTGAACTAAACACAGTGTAAGACTGAGATAAGACGCACTTTATAGTTTAGCCCAGTTACCATTAATAATATGTAGATGCAGGTTAAGTAGCAGTAAAATACCCGGTAAGTAAAGAAGGTAGGGGGGCCGTCGGTTTGAGTCCAGGTTGTCAGGAAGGACATCCTGGATAAATTTATTGCTGAAATCTTTAAAGTGCCTGTGACATGCTTTATTTTCAGTTATAAAAAATTAAAGAAAACATCCTAATATTTTAGAAGTTTGGCATCATTCATTTGATTTTTACCCAGTTTGTCACAAAATGTGCATATTTTCTTGCTAAATTTGGTTCAGTCCAAGTAAAACAGGAAGTGATGTCAAAGGGAAAATCTTTAAAGAAAGGGTAACTTCCTGGTCTTCATATCTGACTCTTCTTTATCTGTCTGATAATGATTCAAAATAATCTACAGAAACATCTGATTCTTTGCAGTCTGTTGTTAGCCGTTGTAACAACTCATTCAGGCATTCCCCTTTGGCATCACTTCCTGTTTCTGCTCATGCAAATTTTTCAACAACTGTTAATTTCAGTGTTGTGAATTTTTGTTTGCAATTCATCATTAATGTTATCTTTCCAAATATGCACTCAAATATATCACTTAAATTTAATGTCACAGGCACTTTAATGTTCACTGTGGTGAACTCTGCAGGGACCAGCATAAAGAAAAACAACAACAACCCTGTAAATAATGGCAAACTGGTCATGAATGAGCAGTAGTTAAGTAGTTAAATAGTTTCCCATAAGTATTCTTCAACAGGTACTTACCCTGTAAATAGCACAAAAGTACTATGTAACTACTAGGGGTGCAACAATACATGTACCCGTATCGAACCGTACCAAACCGTATCAAACAGTGCTTTAGGTTCAATACACACTTGTATCGAACAATACAGATTTTAAAATTTACTTTATCAACTTGTCTTCTGAAGATGCTCTGTGTTGAAGGATCAGTAGATCTGTGTTCGACTACTCCACCTAGGCTGCATTTTTGAGCACAGGTCCACTGAGAAACTTGCTGTTTCTGCAACATTTAATTTAAAAACTGTACTTTTGAGGTTAAATAAATGTTCATAATTAATTTAAATAAATTACAAGTTAAAAGGGGCATGGGAATTACTCTTTTTTGTATCGAAAAAATATCGAACCGTGAGACTAAAGCATCGAACCGAACCGAACCGTAAATTTTCTGTATCGTTTCACCCCCTAGTAACTACCTATTGGGTAACCAATATTTACCACATTAGTATCATGTAAGTAGCAGAAAAGTGCCCTGAACTTAATTTGTRCGTACTACATACAAACCCTGTAAGTTTCAGGGAAGTAGTGAGGAAATACTTTATAACTAACTTGTAAGAACCCACTTAAGTCCTGTAAGTAGTGTAAACACCACGCACCATACAAGTAGTAGAAAATGCTTTTATAACTATCTTGTAAGCAGAGGTGAGCACAGTTCCAGCTAACAGCTAATGGCTAATAGCAGAACTAATTTCTCMTTTAGCTGATTAGCTTTTTCACTTTTTAGCRGCTCARTTAGCTTCCACTAAATTAGGTTTTGCCAACTTTAAGTCCACTAACAGCTAAGTCGTCAGTCTTCAGCTCCAAGAGATGAAGACTGATGCAGAGTGACTGACTGTCGTCTTAGCGATTAGCTTCCACTAACTTTTACTTAAACACAGGTGTGGGCCAGAACTGGCAATGATGACTCTGTTTTAAGAAGCCACAACTGACCTGGTTGTGATTAGCTTACGGCCATCAGTCCTATTCTTTGTGGTATCTGGGCCGAGTGTTAAGAGCGTTAGTGCACTGTGTGGTCAGAAACATTTTCTCTGTGGGATGTTTAACAGTTTAGTGTTAGTGAAAGCTATTATTAGTTGGCAGATTATGAGATAGCGATGCTAASCTTTTGGTTAGCTGTGCTCACAAATGCCTGTAAGTATCCAGTAAGTAGAGGGAGAGTGCCCAAAATGCAATGTATTACCTTRTAGGTAACAGTTACTTTCTCAGTAATACAGTAGGAAAAAACTCATCAGGCTTCATAAAGTATTGCTACTAAAAGTTTAATTAGTTCTTCCTTTCTGAAGTGTTTGAGTGTCTTGATCAGGACGGGGGCTTTAAGCCAGGGGTGGGCAATCCTGGTCCTCYAGGGCCAGTTTTCTGCACGTTTTACTTGTTCCTCTGCTCCAACACATCTGATTCAGTGATTCAAATTCACCCGTTCGTTCTGGTGTGTTRGAGCAGAGAAACAAGTAAAACATGTAGGATCCTGACTCTCCAAGGCCAGGATTACCCACTCCTGCTCTAAGCTGTTCAGCTGTGTGTGTCTGACTTTTGTTACTTTGTTTTTAGGACCGTGTCTGGTATAAACACCAACCTTGACAGGACCTGTAGTCCTTTTGGTGACCAAAGCCTGGTCCTAATATGGTGGAAAGACACGTATGGGTTAGGGTAAGGCTTAGGTTAGGCTTCAGACATGAATGGAAGCCAAAACACGGTCCCATTAGGGATGGAAAAACCAACTTGTGTGTGTGAGACTGAAAACAATGATTATTCTCCTGAATCGTTTTCATTGTATTGTTCAGAAAGTGATGATTCTTCGGTCTCATGTACAAAAGAACAAGAGTGAGTCTGAACGGTTTTTCAGCAGTTTAACTTTTATTCACGAGACAAAAGAAGAAACGATCGARCTCTCGTTTATTAATCAGGTCTAAGCCGGGTCCTGATAGAAACAGACAATCTCTGTTGTGATGTTTTGACTTGGTTCTTTCCTTCTTGCTTGTGATAAAATGGGTGAGTGGCACGTTTTCTAATTTGAGTTTGTTGCGAGTTATAATCGTCACTCTGTGCTCTCTGTAATGGAAAGTCAAGCTGATGTGAAAATAACAGGTTATCATCACTGACAGGTCAGCGTGTTTTAAATTCAGGACATATAAGACGCGTGTCTGTTCACGTGTCAAAGTGTCCTTCTCTGAATGAAGAGAAGGTTGGTTAATGTGATTTAATAATTGGATGTTGTTTTTTTATYCTGCACACTAATATGAAACCCGACACTTGTGTTTGTTGGGAGCTCAGCTGGTGAAACGACTGCTTTCACATTGAGATAGAATAATTTTATTTTTTAGAATTTATATGTAAAATGGAGAAAAAATATGTATTTTATCAATCCTGGAGAAAATTTAGTGCCAGCTGCTCTCATTCAGCTGAGAAAMCCATTTTGAAGAAATATAAATTGCACTTTTAACGTGTCAAAGAGCTTCACTTTAAACAAGTATCTTTTAGCTTTGCTTCACCTTTCACTGAGGAAATAACATGAATGATTATATACTGCAGGACAAGCTCAAATTGAAGAGAGATGTGTGACAAATTGCATATTTTTTGTTATATTAGTTTATAATAATGTAACACAAATATTTTGAGGTGTTTTTGAGGCAGCCAGAAACGTTTTATCTAACAAAGTCCCTTATTGAACATTTTATAAAACCTGATAAAAATGATAAGGAGGGTTAGTTTCCTGTAAGACGATCTAAATTGTCAGAGCTTATTATCGGGTTTTTGATGAAGTCTTATCTCAAAGGAGAGGTTTCTGTTTAATATTTCAGGTTACAAAGTCAGATTTATAGTCATGTCAAACGCAGAACACGGCCTTTTGTGTCTTGGGCTTTTTTTTATATCTATTTCTCTCATCCCGTCCTTCCTCCTTCATTGATGCAGGACTTCGATCCTTTCATCACAGCCCATGCTTTGACATCTCATATTCAACAGATGAGAAGAAGAAGATAATGAAAAAAAAAAACCTCTCTGAGCTCAGATAGGGTTTTTCCTGACTTGCTTCGCTTTCTCTCCTGTTTCTCATTTCCTTTCACATCCATTCACATTCATTCATTCACAAGACTAAACTCCAGTGTGTGCACTCCACACACACTCACACACACACCATGTCCTATTAGTTTCTGCCCTTTCCTTTATCATCTGCTCCTGTCCCTGACTCAGCCTTGAGGTTTTAGGAACCTTCCTGATGAATAGTGTTGTGGACTGAATTACAAGCAGCCGGGTTCACGGGCTCAGTCTCCTGTTACAGGACGCAGATAAATCCTACATTTCTTAGTGTTGTGGTCACATTGGAAAATTGAAAGAAATAGGATGTAGCCAGGTTGCTCCTGACAGCCCTTTTAATCACTTAACAGTCCCCCTCTCCTCTCCTCACCCCTTCAGCTGACGCCTCTGCAGAAGATGATGCAGCAGAGTCGGTCTGAGCGCGAGGACGGCTGCGAAGATTTGACTTGTAGAGCAGCTCGTGTGTTTATGTTCAGACATGAGCTGGTTGGGCTTTTTTCTAACAGTGTTGTTTATTTACCATGCTTAAAGGGCCAATATTCTGTGTTTCTCAGGCATACATTTAAATACTATACCATAATAAAGTGTCTATGTCACCTTTAGTTTTATTAAAATGCTGTTTTTATGTTTAAATAGAAAATAAACATCTTCTCATCACTTCCTCTTCTAAACGCCTTGAAATTGGCCTCTGTCTCTTTAAGAACCACCTTCACTTCTGTCTTGACAATTTTTTTTTTTTGGTGGGGGGGGAGGGGGGTTGCTGCCATGATGCAGTTTACTTGACATCTGAAAGTACATTTCCTCGAAGGTATTTTTAATCAGAAAAGAGTTTCACTGAGTGAGAACTAATGTTGAG